ATCCTCCTGGTGCGAGGGCCAAGTACTTGTGCTACTAGCACACATCACATATCGCCACACAATCCACTACATCTAGACTCATCCCTGCCCAGTATAACTGCGTGGACAGCCGACTGTAGGTTTTCTAAACTCATGAATGTCCTTGACCTGCACTGCCATGAAATTCCTACAACAGCTTATGAATGTACCCCAATATCCTTGGTAAGATGAATTGCCCTTGATGTAGAAGTTGGGGCTCCCTCAGTGTGTAATCAGGATGACTATCAGGGTCCTACAATAATTCAACTCTAATCTTCCTCAGATCCTCATCCTATTCGCTCTTGTCTTAGGACTTCTCAGTCTAAGACCATAGGTACTGATAGAACTGTCAGTTGTGGCTTGTCCGTCTTCCTTGATAGTGTATATGTGGCCTTCTTCTCTAGTCTTAGGCCATATTAAAACACAAAATTATATCCAAGTAACTTGGATAACCACTTTTGATGATTCTCAGTCATCATACTCTACTCAAGCAGAAACTTCAGACTCCTCTAATATGTCCTAACAATAATGTGTTGACCCAACAAATAGAATCGTCATTTTTGGATGACTATGACAATCATCACCAACTCTCAATCGTATGCTGACTTGAGCCTCACCTTGGTCGTGAGCATCTGGATAAAATAAGCAATAGGTCGATGATCCTGCATGAGTATTTCCCCTAGCTCGTATTATGATGCATCCCTCCGCCACAAATGGTTTGCTGAAGTAAGGAAGTGCTAATACTGGCATGCTCATCATGACTTTCTTCAGTTGCTTGAACAGCAAGCCTGTGTTGTTATTTCCCCTCAATTGAAACTATCCTTCAGCTAATCTATCAGTAGTCATACTATCGTGTCATACCCTCACATAAACTTCCTGTAGTATCGAGTGAGACCACAGAAACCCTCTCAACTCCTTTGGTTCTTAGGTAAAGGCCAATCCAATATAGCCTCAGTCATAGACTAGTCCGTTGGTACTCGTGCTCTGTTCACCACATGACCAAGGTACTCCACTTGACGTCATGCAAAAGAATATTTCTTCAGGTTGGCAAACAACTAGTGCTCCCTCAAATTCTCAAGTAATGTCCCCAAGTTACCCACATGCTCTGCCTTCGTACTATCGTAGATCAAGATATCATCAAAAAATACTAGGACGAATTTTTTGAGGTAGGGTTGAAAAACCTAGTTCATAAGGGATTGAAAAGTGGCTGGAGCATTGGTAAGGCCAAAAGGCATCACCAAAAACTCATAGTGACTCTTATGGGTCCTAAAGTTGTCTCATGCGCATCTCCCAACTTCATTTTGATTTGGTGGTACCCGACTTAAGGTCAATCTTCGAGAAGATGACCGACCCAAACAGCTCATCCAGCAGCTCACCGATCATAGGGATAGGAAACTTATCCAACGCGGTTTCCTTTTTAGGGACCTATAATCCAAGCAAAACCTCCAACTGCCGTCCTTTCTCACTAGCAAAATTGGGCTAGAAAATGGGTTCAAACTGGGCCTAATAATCTCTTCCTCAAGCATCTCTTTGATGAGTCTCTTTATCTCATCCTTCTGAATCTGCAGGTGCTGGTACGATCTGACACTGATAGGAGGAGCTCCCTCCTTCTAGGTAATATTATTCTCGTACTCCCGAGGTGGCGGTAATCCGTTAGGCTGCTGAAAATCCTCAAAAAATTATTATATAAGTTGATGTACACACTCAAAGATCTCGACCGATTCTGAATCTCGGACCTCATCCAAGCTCTGCAGCTCCATCAAGCAACCCAACCATATTCCTTGTATCATCTTCACCATGATTTTGAGGGAAACAATGGTTATGTACAAGGTGACATCTCCTCACAGCACCACCCTCTTCCCCTCCACCTGAATCTTCATAGTCAAATATTTCCAGTCCACCTTCATCTCCCTAATATTTTGTAACCACTTCATCCCTAGAATTACATCAATTCTCCCTAAATCCAAGGAAAGAAAATCCTCCATTATATGTATGCCCTGGAGTGTTAGCACCAACCCCATGCAAATCTCCCTACTCTTCTCCACCTTTCATGCCCCCATCATGACTCTAAAAGGTGAAATACATAAGGATATTATTAGAAGTATTCAAATTGGATGGTTGAAGTGGAGAAATACATCAGGTTTGTTGTGTGTAGAAAAGTACTACTCAAACTTTAAAAAAAAAACTGATAAGATGGTGGTGAGACCTGCAATGCTTTATGGCATAGAATGTTTGTCATTAAAAGAGAAGCATACAATTAAGTTAAGTGTTGCAAAGATGAGGATGTTCAAGTAGATTAGTGACTTCACTCTTAGAGACAGAATGTGAAATGAGTATATATGTGAAAAGGTTGAAGTAGCTCCAGTGGATAATAAGATTAGAGCGTCGCCTTAGATGGTTTGGTCAGATGAAACGTCGACCTTCCAATGACCCAGTTAGGAGAGAAAATGTAATAAATTTGTCCTATACTAAGAAATGTAGAGGTAGACCTAAAAAGATTTGGTTAAAAAATATTAGAAATAACATTTTTTATTAGATTTAAATGACAATTTAACTCTTAATAGGACATAATAGAGAAGATCAAGAAGGAGAATATCGAGGTTCCATCATCAATTCGGTGCAAGAGCAATCATATTCCTTTAATTTGATTTTAGAGTGATTCCTACTATAATAAAAAACATTACATTTGAATATCATTTTATATCTGATAAAATTGTATAACAAAGTCAAAGACTTTAAACCTGACTTAGAAAAGGCTATATCTTTTCATGGTGGTTCACAAATCTAATATTTGGATAAATAACTTATATTTGAGTGATAAATATTATGTTGACATTTTAATACCTAGATCAAAGTGAAAGTACTCAGATGACACTAGAAAGTGCTCTGATACCACTTGAAAGTTCGTTAGGGATGTTAAACCCTTATGAACTGGCCCAATGCTAATAAAGAGAGGTGAATTGGATAACTTTAAAATCAAATATAAAACTCAAACTAAAATCACCACAGAGATCAAAGTGCAGAAGAAAATAATGCGGAAACAATAATAAGAAAAGAACACATCGAATTTATAGTGGTTCGGTCAAACCTTGACCTATGTCCACTCCTTGGAGGCACGCCAAGTATTGCACTATAAAAGTGTCTCTCCTTTAGCCCCCACAGCTAGGCGGAGAAGTCATTACAAAATCACTTCCACCTTCCCCGGTGCGGCGGAGTCACCGGGTTCTTTGACACCAAAGTAAACTTCTTCTATGGTGAACTTCCCTCGAGACAAGCCTTGAATCCGACAGTATTAAGATGCAAGCCTGCCGAAGCAACCGTGTGGAATCCCCTCCACACTCCCTTGAGTCCCCCCTTACAGGATCTTCTCCCTCTCAGACTTCACCCGTTCCTCACTCCCTTTCAAACTCTCTTCAAGTCTTCCCCACAAGAACGAAGCTACAATGGCTGCCAAAAATACTTAGAAAAGTGCCTTGACAAAGCTTAAATAGAAAAGCTCAAAATAAGCTCATTAATGCAAGTTGCTGACATTATCGTCCAGGATGATAATTATATCGTCCTGGCCGATCAGTACAAATTCAGCTCATCAGCCCGGGACGATTTGGAACGATCAGAAGAAAATTGGTTATATCGTCCAGATCGATATCACGATCGTCCAGGCCAATTAGTTTAAAACCGATTTCAATCGTCCAGAGCATCACCCTGAATTCGAGCTGTCCGATGTAAATCATCTAGGACATCGTCTCGGCCGATCCTACGATCGTCCCGGACGATGTGATCGTATCAATCAACCATTAATGATTTCTAAAGATACCAGATCAATTTAGGCATAATTGAGTTAGATCGTCCTAGATGATAGGAATATCGTCCTGGCCGATTTCCTAAAACAAGGAATACCTAAACTGATTATGGCGGCTGATTCTTTCTGAATTGAGACTATCGTCTTGGCCGATACATGTATCGTCTAGGCCGATACATGTATCGTCTAGGCCGATCAGCTAATGACGGCTTCCTTAATGAGGATGTCCTAATTAGGGTTTCTGTTTTTGGACAGATCGTCCCGGACGATGTTACCAAAAATAGAAATCTTTATGGAACAACAGAACATCTTCCAAGTTTACAAATCAACCCGTGCCACACAAAATACAACAGACTCAAGAAAGGAAAAAGAGTACAAACTGACTCAGACCTAGTCTACCCAATCTTGAGCAGGTTCCAAATTGCAATCTGATCGTGTGGACCTGAAATGTCAGTACATAAGACAGTCGTAGAGAAATAAAAATGTTTGCTATCATCAAAATCATAAATCATTGATCCGCAACACAAAGATCATATAACCGGATAAACGTTTATATCTGGATCAATGACCTTATTTCCAAGTAAAACATCTATATTTCAATAACAAGCCTTCTATCATTATTAAAAACCTTATATCCTACAAAAAGGCCTGATAGATATCCTTGCAAACATTTTAATAAAATTAGCAACAGTTGAATGGGATCTATTTGGAGAGTGCAGCATTATTGTTTTAATAATTATCTCCAATTTATGCAACGCATTTAAGTTATGAAAAGATTCGAGTTCACATTAATTAGTTCTCTCTGAAATCATAGATTCGAACACAATAAAGCTACAGTGATATCCCTACTATTATTGTTAGAATTGTTACGCGAAAAAAAAAAAATCTTCATCACCGCTACTAATAAATAATATATTAAGCAAAGCATAACTAACAGCATTCCATCAAATCAACAGAAACCAAAATAAAATACTAAAATCAAACTCAAAAATTCCCCAAGTCAATCCCAATCACAAAAATTACAAATCACCGCCCTACTCAATGGTAGAATAAAATGAAAAATGAAAAACTGCAAAACAACCACAAATCGCATTTCCGAGGTCTGACTACCCTAAAGTCTTCGCAGTCGCAAACAAGGACTTCAGAGACAAAATGGAAGGAAATCAAGAAGAACTCGACTTACTCTGCGAGATCTCCGAGCTGTCTCAACACTCCGACTAGACCGGCCATCGCCACCCCCTCGAGAAGCGCTTCTGGGTCATCCTTGTCAGCAGCCCGGTAAACTTCCGGATCCGCTAGCCCGTACTCGTTCCTTATCTGGTACCTCACTGTCGGCATCTCTCAAACACACCGTCAGCCCGACCGAGGAAGAAGCCAACCCACGACCGCTTTCACGCCTCCACCATTAGAGCTCTGTTACCGAGCTCGACGACAAGCCAAGGAGAGAGAATGTGACATCCCTCTCTCTCTGTAAATGTTTGCGGTCCGAAAACGGTAATGGGGAGAAGAGGGAGAGATGAAAGCTCTTAAGTGAGTTAATTAATTAGTGGGTCCCACAGTTAAAGGGTCCCACCTTAGCACTTTGTGGGGTCCACTGAAGTCACAATTCACACGGCCTAGACCTCTAATTGTCAATAGCAATGCCGTCACGGTTTCCAAACGTTGAATACCTATCAGTCGTAAGCATAATTAACGGCGTTAAGTGCGAAGCAGAAGGTGACATTAGCCTTTCGCTTCGGTATCGTGCAAATTCTTTGGGTAACCGTGACAAGGGCAGGCGGGGCCCATTGATCCGACGGCTGGGATCATTCCACCTATTAAGCACTTTCTCGTCATAAGTTAAAAAGATATATTTTAAAGGATTGACAAAAATGTCCCAAAAAAAAAAGGATTGACAAATAATTAAGGCAGATTCTTCTGAATCGTAATTAAATAAGAGCATTAAAGAACTCAAGGAGATCAATAAAACTAGTGGCTAAAGTTGTGAATATTGGAAGAAAAAGGAATCAGGAGTTTGATGGTTTCACTTAGGGCTGTCAATATATGACACGACCCGAAAATCCGACTCGAATCCGATCCGATTTTTTCAGGTTTGGGTCAACCCGAACCCGAAACGGGTCGGGTTCTAGTTAAATTTTTCGACCCGTTTTAAATTTCAGAGTCGGGTCCGGGTTGACCCGGAAACCTAATATTGACCCGGAATTGACCCGCTTCGAGCCTTCGATCCGCGATGTCCAATGTACACGCGTGAGTTATAGCGATTCGTGCGATTTAATTTAGCCATTTAGATTTTAGGGCGCATTTAGGGCAGCCGCGTTCATTTCATTTCAGCTTTACGAGACTTCTGTCTTCGTCTCTTCTCCTCTTAGAACGTCGAATTTAGGGTGTTCTCAACTGATATCGTGGTGCTTCCTGAGTTCCTGGCTTCCTGCCTCCTTCACGGAGCTTCTCTCCTCGTTGGTGTCGTCGTCTATTCCTCTATTAGATTATTTTTTAATCTCCTTCTTGCTCGAAGCTCGAAGGCTCGAAGCTTTTCAGTTTGTTCCCTCTTGCTAATTAGTTGCTATCATTTTAGAGTTATCTTGATTGAAGTATCATCCTTGTTCAGATATTTCTTCTGATTTAAGTTGTTATGCAATTTTGCTTTTGATTTGCCAATTAGAGCTTAGGGTTTATTGTATCTTGGGTTGTATGGCAATTAGTTGCTATCATTTTAGAGTTATCTTGGTTGAAGTATCACTGTTGAACATTTTTTTGGGTTTTATGGCACTTTGGGCTGTCGGTTTAATTATTACTGGCTTAGGGTTTATTGTTGGTGCTGCCTTTTGCAATTTTTTGTCTCTGGACGTCGATTCAGTTCTGTTAGTCTGTTATATACTTACATTCAAAGCATGTAAATCATGTAGTCTGCTGGCTGCAGCTGCAAGAAGTTGGTATTCGCATGTATATCTTTCAAATTTAATAATTTAGGATGTTCTTACTTCTTACTTCTTTAGCTCTTTCATATTAAATTTATGAATTATTTATGATATTTGGCTATTGACTTTTTGCTATGTATAATATGGATTAAATCCTTTAATTGGTTTATTAGATGGAGGATTCAAACACACTTCTTGAACTTTTTATTGATGAGAATGAGGAAGTTCACATTGAAGATAACGTGGTAGAGCCATCTAATGATGGTTCAGTGGTAATTAAGAAGCATAGGAGGATGACTTCCAAGGTTTGGGGGCATTTTGAGATGCTATCTAATCCAACAGATGGTAAGCAAAGATGTAAATGTAAAAAATGTGGTGCACAATACTTGTGTGAGAGTAAAAATG